CTCAACTTTGTTATTATAAATTGTATTTCTAACATCTTAAAAGAAATGTACTGAGATGATATCAATTGCATTTTATTACATCCACGACATATTGAAAATTGGTTCCAATATGACACCAAAAGTTATCAAGTAAATGGCTGACAGGACAGGATATGTTTTTAGCTCACCTGAGCTTGCTCAGGGTGAGCTTTAATGATCGTTGAATGTCCGTCGTCCGTCCACACTTGTTCGTTAACACTCTAGCGGTCACATTTTTGCCTCAATCATCATCAAACTTGGTCAGGATGCTTATCTAGTTGATAGCTCAAATGAGTTCGAACATGGGTCATCTCGGATGAAAAACTAGGTCACCGGAGCTAAAGAAAAAGAAAAACCTTGTTAACACTCTAGAGGTCACATTTTTGCCTCAATCATCATCAAACTTAGTGAGAATGCTTGTCTAGGTGATAGCTTGAATGCGTTTGAATATGGGTCATCTCGGATGAAAAGCTAGGTCACTGGAGCTAAAAATAGAAACACCTTGTTAACATTCTAGCGGTCACATTTTTGCCTCAATCATCATCAATCTTGGTGAGGATGCTTGTCTAGTTGATAGCTCGGATGAGTTCGAACATGGGTCATCTCGGATGATAAACTAGGCCACATGAGCTAAAAAAGAAAAACCTTATTAACACTCTAGCGGTCATATTTTTGCCTCAATCATAATCAAACTTGGTCAGGATGCTTGTCTACGTGATAGCTTCGATAAGTTTGAACATAGGTCACCTCGGATGAAAAACTAGGTCAACGGAGCTAAAAATAGAAAAACCTTGTAACACTATAGCGGTCACATGTTTGCCTCAATCGTCATCAAACTTGGTCAGAATGCTTGTCTAGGTGATAGCTCGGATGAGTTTGAACATTCGTTATCTCGGATGAAAAACTAGGTCAACGGAGCTAAAAATAGAAAAACCTTGTAACACTCTAGAGGTCACATTTTTGCCTCAATCATCATCAAACTTTGCCAGGATGCTTATCTAGGTGATAGCTTGGATGATTTCGAACATGGGTCATCTCGGATGAAAACTAGATCACAGGAGCTAGAAATAGAAAAACCTTGTTAACACTCTAGCTGTCACATTTTTGACTCAAGTGTCATCAAACTTGGTCAGGATGCTTGTCTAGGTAATTGCACGGTTGACTTCGAGCATGGGCCATCCCAGATGAAAAACTAGGTCACAGGAGCTAAAAATGGAAAAATCTCGTTAACACTCTGGTGGCTACTGTTTTGATCCAAATATCCTGTAAATTTCTCTGAAAGTTTGTTTTGATGATTTCTAGGTCAAGTTCGAATATGGGTCACCTGGGTAAAAAACTAGGTCACACTGCTCAAATATGGATAATCCTAGTTAACACTCTAGTGGTCACATTTTTGACTCACTTGTCATGAAACTTGGTCAGAATGCTTGTCTAGGTAATTGATCGGATGTGTTCGATGGGTGAGCGATCTAGGGCCATCATGGCCCTCTTGTTTAAACATCTTTTATTTCTAATAGCAATTATGGTGGCCGGTAGCGTCCTTTCTAAAGTCGCAAGAAACTTAACCGCCATTTTATAATAGCAAAATATTCCTTGTTAGTTCCAACAACTATTTTAAAATATTGAGGTTTATACATTCACCGCGACATTTTGTACGATTTTGACAGAAACGTCGCGACATTTTTATACGATTTTGACAGAAACGTCGCGAGTTTGTAAGTTGCCCGAAAAAACATTTTATGATAAAGCGTATTCTCGCTGGCTTAAAATGGCCACAACCGGTCACATATTTATAATATTTATTAAACTTTTTTTATATTACAAGTGGTTACAAGTGGTAAAATTAATAAAACATTAGGTATAAAACGTTCTTTTTTTTTTCAAAAATTGCTACATCAGAATTTAAATGGCAATTAGTAAAATTGCACAGTGATGTATATGGGTATCGACAGTCATCGTGAACTCAACCTCAAATATTTCAATGTTGCAGATCGAAAATAAGTCAGTACTCGGTATTTAAGCAGAACTCAGATGGCAACTTTATACATCTGGAACCCAAAGTGCGTTGATATGTAGCATATTAACGCTCTTTGGGGTCAATTTCTCGATTTTGACCCCAAAGTGCGTTTGACCTCAAAGTACGCTGTGAAGTTTACCGCACTTTGGGGTCGGATCCCAAAGTGCGCTTGACCCCAAAGTGCGGTGTTACCGTCCTTGTGGTTACATACGTGCTCTTGGTACTACAGCATTTTAACTTTTTAATTCCTACAGTAATGAAGAGCATACATAACATATTTACATTGCCGAATACCAATCTACCTCGGTAGAACATTCTTCATAATACTGATAATGAGCATAATAATATGCAAAAACTGAAGTTGATGAATTAATATAAGGCAATGTTTCCCGTATATAAGGACACAAACCACACTTGGTGGTGAGCTAGCTTTTCACCAACAGGGTTTGTGTGCCTTAAAAACGTTATGGCCAGTGCGGGGTGTAGACAACTGTCGGACTGGAGTCGCAGTACTCGAGTTAAAAAAGAAACAAGCAATTTTGACTTTAATCGAAGCGCGTGTAAAGGAGATAGCAACCGGGCGGATGTTAAACTAATATGCAAACGCTGCGCAATAAAATGTAATTCAAGTGTATTCACAATAATTTTTTGAACCGAGAAATATGTCATTAAGACCAAAACGCAATCATTAGTTTTAGGCACAAAAGTAAATAACCGTCCTCGATGTAGTAATAATACATTGAAAAATTATTGGTGTTTTCCACTCCGGATCATGGCAGAAAGCCACACTGAATTTACTAGAGCACAGTGAAGTGACCGCATCGTTTCTGGGCAGACTGTCAATCAATTTACCAGTACTAGTTGCATTTACTTTCGCAAGGTACTGAAACTTCTGTACATGCCAGAGCAGAGGTACAGTGCGAATGACCGTAAAAGGATGTCATTATCAGTTACAACGAAAATGACCTGCACAGTCCGGGAATCGAACCCGGATTCGCCTGATTCACAGTCCTACGTTCTATACCTACGGAGCTAACCGGGCGGCTTGTTTGCGCATGCTTCTGTACTTATACGGCTCAGTATACAAAGCGTTTTACCCAATCAGAATGGGGGAAATTTATTAGCATTATTATAATCTATGGTATACTTTGCCAAAAAATGAGAAATCTTGCACAATATAGAATAAGACAAGAAAACACCACCGGATAGTATAACAATTGCCACTATTACTGCCGGGGCAGTCGCGGGTTCGATACTATTTTAAACTAATAGGCACTTAAAACTCCGTTGCTTGGTGTTCAAGCTTCTAGATTTTTCTAAAAAAACATAAAAGATTGTGAATCAAAAAAGTATTATACGAATTTTGGGATTTTGGGAACACAATGTTTGAATTGTGTGCGTGCGCATGCGGTTTGTGTTGACTAGCCAGTTTTATTTGATTTTATTTCATTTAGCATAAATTCATTTACAACATGAAAACGAATTAATGAAGACTAAGCTCCGAAATAGTATGCGCATGCATCCCACGTGCTCACTACACCCGTGTGATTTCATACTCGCGTGCACTTCAGTCGCATGGCAAGCGCGTGATTTCGTGCGCATCACCTTAGAATGATTATCATTGTGCTAAGTGCGATATTCTCAACCTTTATGTGATAGGATGCTTTTATTTAGTAAATATTACATTTAGTCCAATAAAATCTTCCCACGCGCTGCCTATACCACGTGACATCTTATAATCTCCGTAGGCAAAAACAACAACAACAACAACAAAAATTATAGACGGTCCGAAGAAATTAACAACAACAACAACAACAAAAATTATAGACGGTCCGAAGAAATTATCAGAAGAACTGGCCTTTGAAAAGGTTTTCTGTTCAATTAAAATCACAAAAAGTCACGTGATATAGGCACTGTAGTGCAAGACAGACTTGATTTCATTGAAGCCGAATAGCAAACAATTATTTAGAACGCCGACATGAGAAAAATGACGTCAAAAGACGTTAGAAATAATAAGTGCATTACTTTTGAAATGTTAAAGATAAAGATGAGTAAGTAACAATAAGCCAAAATTCAGAAGATTTTATTTATTTCAAAAGCAACAGAAATGGATATTTTCAAGAATCAAATATGTCAAATTTATAACAAAAAAATAGTAAATGACGTGATCGGTTGTTTTCTCATTCTGGCTGTAATTATTGAATTATTACCTTTCCTTGAAGATCTTCAATTTGGAAAATAAAGATTCAATGAAATAGAATAATGTTCGAACGAATGTCAAATAAAAAAGTGATAAGCGACAGGCTTTTCTGCAAGGTCCGGTCAGTTCGATTCTTCAATTCATTTGATTATTATTTATTAAAAGGGCGTAAACTCACTCTGACTAAATATGATTTAACGACAAGTTGTCTCCCTGACACTACTTGGCGGTTCAATATCTATAATTCAAGGGGCGTAATTGTGTAAAGAGATGCGATATCAGAATAACGCAGTGTTCTCCCTTATATCAAGGCTACTAAGATAAGTGGTTGGTATATATTAAGTTACATAACTCAACAGATATATATTTAATAGCTCCATGATAACTATTTATAATGATTCAAATAGCAATTGCATTTATCAATATAAATATATAATTTCATTTAGTGTTATGCTGCTCTCGTAACAACATTTTTTTCTTTGAAAAAAAAAGGAAGGTGTTTGATGTAAACTGTCATTTTCTTTTAAGCAGATGGTATTTATAAGTCGATTTTCAAGACAATGTTATTTCTATCTAGAATTAAGGATGCATTATAAAAATTATGAATATTAATTTTTACAGAACATAAATAAATGGAACACGGTTTAAAAACACAGCCGACATCGCTATCTACACGGATAACATTTCGTAGCCGATAAGCTGTAAAGCCCTCAGGGTCATTTGTGCTCTCATTTGATTGGTCGAATTATTTATAACACGCCTTTTGAAGCGACGATGTATGTATTTACACACTACATTTGATTAGTGATAAAATTTCGGCAAGAGACCGTACGATTTACATCAGTTTTAATTTCGCAACCTTGGTTGTACTTTTTTTTCTTTCGGACATTTTAGGAAAGTTACTCCAAAGTTTCGACAGATAATAACTTTTAATTCGGGACAGTGAAACTTTCCCACGCCTGTGTTAACGGACATCGTTCTTTTTTGTGATCGTGTAAAGAGCAGATTTGTTTCAATAGAACACAACTTAAACACATCCCGCTTGGGGCGGATAAATTTACGAAAATGTAAGTAGATTTTCTATTATTTGACAAGTTTTCAGTTTACATTTCTATGTTTTAAGTATGAACATATATATCTGTCTTCGATGGGGATTTTTAGATTCTTACTAGAAAATTGACGAGTTATTTTAAGTTACAAATAACTTGTGTATTACAGTGTAAACTATCAGAATTATACATGTATATTAATTGATAGTAGGAAAAAAATCAAGGCATTTGTATAAGCGAGAAATAGGTCACTATGGCGATAGAGGCTATAAAATAACCACTTTTAATTTTGTTGATTTTGAGGAAAAAAATCATTTTAAAGTAAGAGAAAAATTGAGCTCAGATTTTGTCTTGTTTGGGTAACATGTTTTTAAAATGTTGTTCAATCCTAGTCACTTTGAAAATAACGAACAACAGGCATGTTATATAATTTGGATAAGTTTGTGCTTAGATCAACATTCTTTAAAAGTAAATAACAAAACAACAACAAAATGTGCTGTTATAAATAGTATATAATATTATAATAAGTCAGCAGAATTCTATTTGACGTACGTTTTCTATTTACGAGTAACGATTTATTTTGATATCTTTTGTGACATACTTTTATTAGTATTGTACATGTACGTTTGCGTGATAAATACGAAATCTATTTAAGTTGTTTATGTCACTCAGAAAAGTGTACACAAAAAAGGCTTAAGCAGTAGCTTTTCGCAAGTCAATCCGTATTTTTGGCACGTGGCATTTGTAATGCTAATTTAAAGATATCGATTTTCAATGAAATCTAATGGGCTTCATTATAGCTAGCACCTTTTTGGGTTTCTTTACAAATTTATTCTCCTTGTTTTCTTTACATTTAAATGGTAAAATCGTAGGCGGAAATGCAGTTTTTACCTATAAATAATGACACCACCAATTGCCTATAATTTAATTCAACATATCTTATATAGACTTAGTAAATGAAAAGGAAAATTAGCAAATTGATTTATGGTTTTCCGACTTGAAACTAGAAAAGAATCTCTCTCCCACTTTGCATTTTCTTAAAACATCTTTGTTGTCTGTCATTATTAAATGAATATAAATCATTAAAATTAATTATTTGAAAACTCATGATGCATTATTTGTGTATTGTAATAAGATATCCAATCTGTCATATTGGACAGAAACAAAAATGACAGCGGGGAATTAGTAATGCACTCGCGTAGCCGTCAATTCAAAGTCAATTTTTGCATTCCCGACATCTTGATGGGTCAATTCATGCATTGTACATGCATGGGTCAGTGATTGAATTTCTTTGTCTGAATACTACGACTGACCGCGTGACCCCGGGGCTGCATGTTAATAGAATTTTCTGATGAAATTTTCGTCTGATGAAATTCACATCTTTGTGTGAATTAGGCTCTACTAAAGTTTTCCAGCGTGCAGTGCAATAAAAAGATTTTATCTCCCTCAAAGAAAATTTATACAGGCTAGCTAAACACAGTGTCCAATGTGTTTCCAGACACATTTCAATTCACTGCATAGGCATTTCTAGCTAAGCTCAACGTGGGGTCCAAACGTTTTGCATGTAGTATGTTGCAATATTCAGTGCGACGCCGCATTCGTTCTGCCTATAACACAAAGATTGTGTTACGTCATCTTCTTCAAGGGGTTTGTTTATTTAGTGCACAGTTTTGTGTATATTGGGACCCCTCTAGGGGTTTATGTAATTATATCAACACATAGATGGTTATCGGCAGGTGCTTGCATGAAAGTTACCTATTATTACGTCACAAAGGGTGCCGAATGTAATTGGGTGGTGTTGAAATACGTGACATTACACACCTTACAAATTATAATAGATATCTCAGATATTTTGTATAGATATCCCAATACTATGAAAGAAATCAGGTTTTATTATTTTAGATTGTAGATTGGCGACACTTTATTTATTAACGATATTTGTATTGAATAAAAATATTTAGAATAAAACACAAAATCTTAGGGGAATATATATTTATATACAGGGAAAAGGTGACCTTTGTTGTTCCATATCAATTTTCTGTTCACACGATTTGATATACTGACCTACATTTATATTGTCTGAATAACTACAACTTTTATCGTCTGCTACATGAAGCACTTCCGGTGTCTTTTCAGCTCCGTTTTCGTCATTCTGTCTCAGAGAAATTTTAATCACCTCATGTCCATGTAAACAAATTTAAATGAACCGAATGTCAATCTTTTTTTGTAATTATTACTGTAACGACAAATTTTGAACGATTAGATAAATTAATATTTTGTAGCTGAAATATTAAATATGCAGCTTACTCTTAATTACAATTTCTGTTTATAAAAAAACAACTTCATAAAAACTTCATGCACTTATGATGTAACTTCAAATAACAATTATTTTTTTGATAAAAGATGGATCGGCGATCACAGGCAATTTACCTCATCATAAATTATGGTAAACCGTTTCAAACGCTTAGGAGCAGCATTTTGCTACATTGACATTTAGGGGAAGGGCCAATTCAATGGCTGACAAGCGGTATTAACTAAATGTCAACTTGCTACTTAAATAAATCGCATATAAGGAAATGGGGAATAACTTGATGTTTACGACGTGTAAAACAAGCAAAAAAAACACAAATAAACCGGTGTCCACAAAAAGGAAGTGACTGAGTACAGAAACTATTCAAAGGATGAAATTATGACTGCTCTAAAACAAACACGAAATGTAAATTTCTTTTACATTTCTGCAGTGCATTTTTTACGCATGACACTATCTGTATTTATTTAAAGGCCCATTATGCCTCAGAAATGCTTTTATTTTTATTTTTCTTAAAAGCTTTTTAATTTTGGTATTCTTTTTAAATAAAAAATAGTATCCAAAAAGTTACTAATTTGCCAATTACCTGAACCATCTTTTTCGTCTGTTGCTTTTTTTGGCATTAAGTGCAGCTTTATAGTGAATTAGTATTTTGTACGGAAGTCAAAATGAAATATTATTTAGTTTACATTAATCTTTGTAAGTTTTAAGACAAATTTCACATCTTATTTTTTTGTATTTCGACGGTAAGATAAGAAGTATCTAGCATTCTCTAAAACCATTTTTATTTAAACATTATAAAATTCATGTTTGCACTTTGTACAGAAGTAAAATTATATTTGTTTCTGAAGCATAATGTGTCTTTTTTAAGTACAAGGTTGTACAATAATATACTTTTTTACGCATTTTCTTTGTTTTACAAAAAAGAAAAGAAAAAAAGACGCGATGCTGAGGACTGTAATTTCTATGGAGAACTATACGTGGTTATTTTAATGTATCAAATGCCATTCTCCGTGTGTGTTGACTGACCTTTGTAGAAACCTAATCTCGAGTTAAAGGCCGTAAATCACAATTAAACACTGGCATGCATTGATACTTCGACCATTTATGGAAATTTGAACCATGTGATTTCGGAGCCTTTAATACTCGAGTCAAATCAGTCAGTCTGTTTGACTTTTTGACAAATTTTATATACTACCGTTGAACATGAAACTAACCTGAAACCTTTGAACAATCAGCCAAACAGAAAAAGAAAAAAAACCTGTTTCCTTTATTGGAATTCTAAATTTCAAACTTTAAATGTATTTTAACTCCAGAAATAAGCAAAAATGCCTTAAGTTACGCGTTAGATTTTCTGCATGGTCGAGTAAACTGTCTTGCCATTAGCAAAATTACTTGATGATCGGATAACCTCTGATTTTATCGTCGTGTTTTATAAGAATTAGATATGTATCTTTGTATTCACTGGGCTGCCAACTGATGGTGAAACTGTTAAAAGTAATTCAAACCAGATGTTATCAGTACGGAAATAGCGGTCTTTTGGATACGCTTAGTTTCACGTGCATGCATCAGCATTAAATTGTGAAAAGATATTTTGCATGTCTGCATGCTATGATATTTAATATAACAAAAACAACAACAATACAATATAGAAATAGAGGTAAACAAAGAACATATACCATAGACTACTCCAGAATGGTGCTGCCCTGTTTACTTACATTATGATATTCGAAAGATACTAAATTGTAAATCATATTTGGGCGTTATGTTTTTAGACTCGTTTAAGGGCTTTATTCAGCTAAAATATGACGCTATGGTCACTTATTTCTTCACTGATTGTGTAATTTATGCCAAGTCACGGACATTGCATCATATTAAACACCTGGTGCGACTTTTATACCGCCATTATGTCCGAAAATATAACTATCCGAAAAATATTGACACTTTTATACCCTCATTGATTTTGTCTAGTCTGGTATATCATATCACGTAATAAAAGCAATAAAAAGTTTGCCAACAGTCAAAAGTGACTTTACATGTCTTTAAGCTTAAATGAACCATAAATCTTATCTTGATATTAAATTCGCATCAAATATTATTTGTGAAGCCAGCGTTATATCTACAGAACAAACGGCGATGTAATTTAAATATGTTAATATAGTTTTATCGTGAACGTAGGTACATAGGACCCTAAGTAAATATACATAGCGATTCAAACATTTTATCAGACCCGTCTGTCCTTTATCTATAAATATTGATTTGAGGCCTCTACATTCTGAAATACCAAACTTCATTATCTATGTTTAAGATCCAAAACATGTATACATTTAAATTACTCCAGACATTGTCTATATAGTACTGAGATTTTTGACGAGTAAGCCCTACACAATTCAGATTCCCTTCGTTCCTTGATATTCCTCCAAATATCACTCGATTTTGTTACAAAATAAATGGTACCCTCCCACCTTTCATTAAACAACTAATTAGCCCTCACAATCAATCAGAAAAAAAGAAAAGCTGAAACTCAAATTAGATTTCATCTTAAGTTATTATATTTGATCATCTTGGGGAATTTCAGTTTCAGTTTTAATTTCAATATCACGTGATCATGTCATTGACATTTCAGCTTTTAAAATCCGATGAAATTATTTTGTAAAAACAAAGTCATGTTTAATCTACGGATTATCGTAAACGTTTATTTGCCCTATTAAATTGGTATGTACATATATATATTAGAATGTGTTTACTTTGACTTGTGTACGATAATAAAAACAAGAGAAAGCTTTTCACACGAATTGGTAAATTCAAGAAAAGGTCAAAAATTGTATAATGTAAAAAAAAATCCTGTTTGGGTTTATTCGAAACTCGCTTGTTTCGAATCTGTTTCGGTTTATTCGAAACTCGGTTGTTTCGAATCTGTTCTTTCTCGAAATCTGTCAGAAAACCATGTCGTCTAGATCATGCATATAAAACAATAATTCAAATTTCAAATTGTTGTTATTGTCAACGCAACTGCAATGCATTTTGCACTTTAATTAATTAGTGAATGTGTATTGTGCCCATGCCATTGAAAAGGGAATGTGCCCGTTTCAGAATCATATTTACACGGACGCTAAATTTCAATGGCCCCTTCCAGAACAGAGTGTCGCATATAAGGGTAGCATCAGATTGTTACCTGAAATTGAAAAATATTTTTATCCGAAACATTCTATCCGAAATATAGAAGTTTAATCGTACGCCGGAAACGAAATTAATAAACACTTGTCTTGTACCCGTAGAGGCCAAATGGGTTAAAATAATGTTTCTTTTCTAACCGTTTCTTCTTTCTACCTTTGGGTGTTGTAAGCGATGATATTGATTTAAATAAATACAACCTTAGAAAGCTTTCCTTTCTCTTTCAAAATCTGCATTTTTGTCGATTTGTTTCTGAAAACTTAATTTAACCCGTTTCGCCTCGTTTTGAAAAAAAGAAGTATAATAGTATCTATTTATAGAAAATGACGTATTCCGTTTACAACACCCTAATTCTCGTCTATCTTTCTCTTCTATACAGGGTGAGCGCTATTCTGGGATCCATCCCTGGCTTTAAGAAGCTTAGAGGGTCAAGAAATGATGATTGGATTGACCGGATGAGTCATGTATATACCACAATTCTTCTTATCATATTCGCCGTGGTCGTGAGCACATCTCAGTTCGTCGGGAACCCGATCCATTGCTGGCATCCGGCAGAGTTTAAGGGCTGGTATGAAAAATACGCCGAGTATTACTGCTGGATTTCGAACACTTACTTCGTCTCATTTTCTGAGATGATACCTGTGGACGTAACCGAAAGAAAAGACAGAGAAATCACATACTACCAATGGGTGCCTCTAATCCTGGCATTCCAAGCTCTTTTGTTTAAAATACCGAACGTGATCTGGAAAATGCTCCATCCAAATTGCGGTATTAACCTGAGCAAAATTGTTGACATGGCGGAGAAGACGCAGCTGACGTCACCATCTGCGAGACAGGAACTTATTGAGCACCTCGCTAAACACATCGACAAATGGTTAGACACTGAACGAAACTATAGCTGGAACAGATACACGGCTATGCGAGAACGCGTCAGTAAGATTTGCTGTATCTTCTGCAGCAAAAGAAGTGGCACTTATTTGTCGGCACTGTTCCTTTTCATGAAGATTCTGTATGTTGCAAATATAGTTGGACAGTTTTTCCTTCTAAACGCTTTTATGGCAACAGATTACAATCTTTACGGTTTCGAGGTCATACATGGTCTGCAGACGAACACACCATGGCGGGAAAGTCCGCGTTTCCCGCGCGTTACATTCTGCGACTTTGAGATCCGTCAACTTCAGAATGTGCAACGTTTCACGATTCAGTGCGTTTTGCCGATCAATCTTTTCAATGAAAAGATTTTCATCTTTTTGTGGTTCTGGTTTTTCCTTATCGCCATTCTTGCCGTCTACAACCTCTTGCAGTGGAGTTACACGCTGATCATGAAGAGGAACCGTGTCAATTACGTCAAGAAGTATCTAAAAATAACCGACCAATTGCAAAACGGCTTTGATAAGAAATTATGCCATAGATTCGCGGACAATTATTTGAGAGAAGATGGAGTGTTTGTTTTACGAGTTATAACGAGAAATTCCACGGACTTGGTAACGACTGACTTAGTTACGCAAATGTGGAGAAACTTCCAAGAGAAGCAAAACAGGCGCATGCCAAACAATGATGATACTTTACGACCAAATGAACTCAAACCTACAAATGACGAAAAGATGCCTTTACCCGTAGACTGAAAACATTTTTCTAGAAAGTCAAACTGAAGAACAGTGTCATTCTTCCAATATGCCAGATTTTTCTAAAATAATCTTGCCTGTATTTTGGTAGGAAGTAGACATATGGCACGGACAAAACATGACACACTCGTTCATATTCTGTACGGGGTTCTGCACGTGTGAAGTACGTGTAAGAATATCTATTTTTTAAAAATGCATGAAATGATGTTAGATTAAAGTTATCAGAGGTTGGACAGAATCTTTGTGGTTAGGATAAAGAAATATTTTAAATATTAAAGAAGATATTTTTTTGCATTGTTTCAAATTTGTTGGCAATCGATTTGGGTATGTTGTTTTAAATATATCCTGGTACAAAATCTTCCTTACAAAACATAATGATCTCGATATTTTGTTGTGATTTTACTTGAATTTTAAAATCATTAGTTCCGAAGTAACTACAAATTCTGCCAAAGTTCGTGGGTTCGTGCTTCCAGCTTTTAAATAATGAGACAAAAAGAGAAGGGGACAAAATGACATTTTTTTAAGAAAACTGTCAGTTTGTATTAACACGATAAATAACATATCTGAATTCAATAATGTCTTTCAATTTTCTTCATAGAGCGAGATTTTGTGTTTATGATTGGTCGCCGTGAGTCGTAGAGAATCTTTATGCATACATTACGTTAAAAAATACCTTAGTATTACATAATAACAACGTTAAGTACATTATACTACTTAACGAGTTGAATTTGTAATGTGTATAGAAGTGATTTTATGTTATATTTTTGTTAATATGATTTAGTTATTTTATCATACTATTTTCGTTCATGCATTTATTTCTTTGATTCGCATTTGCAAGCATTATTATTTCATTACATTGTTCCTGAAAAAAGTAATTTTGTTTTCATATTGTTTATCATTATAGAAGATTCTACTTTTTTAATATAAATATATTTGTAAAAGGGAATTGCTTGCCAGATCGAATTTGCTCCAGATATTGATTTTTTTTCAACAGTTTTACTTAATGCACTGTTCATTATTCTGCATTTTTTAAAGTGATTGACAATTTCTTTGTGATTATTTTATAAAAATGATAATCATATGCATTTATAAATAGAATTGCATTTTAGATTTCTATTTTTAGATTTGATTTTTTAATGCCAGTTTGGTAGAACACTAGTGATAATAATATAATCTGTGTTAAAGAGATTCATAAAGTATTTGTGATATATATACTTATATAATGTGCCAGTGAAAGAAAACAGATGTAAAAATTTTGTTAGAAAAGTGTTACCAACGGTTTCACTAAGGATAGTTTTATAATGTATTGTTCATTTTTCTGATAGTCTTTTAATATTTTATAAAAGAAATAAGATGTAAATGTTTTATTTTTGTGAGTATTTTGAAATGTATATTAGGTATGTATGTTAGTTAAGTGTTTTGTGATATTGATGTATGTTTTAAAGGCACATTATGCTTCATAAATGATTAAATTTTTTACTACTTAAAAAAGCAAAGATGAATTTTATAATTTTTGAATAATGATTTTAGAGCATGTCAGATACTTGTTTCCTAAAGAACATAAATCAGGAATAGTTTGTCATTAAAGTAGGAAAATGTAAACAAAGTAGTATTTTGACTTTCATACAAAATACTAAAAAGTACATCAAAAATAAAAAAGCTTTTGACAAATCAAATAAAAATAAAAGTTTGTTTTTTTTTTGGGGGGGGGGGGGCAGGCATAATGGGCCTTTAAGTTAATTTTGGGATGTAGATGACACTTCGTCTAAGAAATAGTAACATTAATGGAGCTTAAGAAACCTTAATTTAAAATTTGATTGATAAATTTCTGAAACATGTTTTACAACATTTTTTCATGCCACAATTAAAGATTTCAATTTTTTAAAATGTTACGCTGTAATTTTACTCCCGTCTAAAAGAGGTAGTTGCGTTTAGACCATGACCGCCATTGGCAGGGTTGTTTTCTTTTCTTTTTAATAATTCATTACATTTCTTGTCAAGTTGTTTATTATTTTAGCAAGTTGTTTATTCTCAAATAAAAAAGTTTGTGATGTTACTATTTCTTTATTGAGCAATTGAACAAATGAGAAAGATTGCAATATGCTATTTAATGCTAGATGACCACGTGATTTATGCAATTAGGAATCATGTCATTTAAGCATAGGGACCACGTGATTAATGCTAAAGGCAACTTGATTGTGCAAAATAACTGCTAAGTATTTGCTGACTTGACTGCACGGTAAACGAAAGGGATCGCATGATTTATTAAAGTGACCAGTACCACGTTATTCAGTTAAAGAACCACGTGATTTATTGAAAGAGCTGCGTGATTCTGAAAAAAGACCGTGTAAATGTTAATATGTAAATCATATGTCTGGTGGAAGGGTTGTATACTTGTGCACTGCATTTTCTATGTTGCTTTTCTTATTTTTTTAAGGCAAGCAAATTTTAATTGATTGTTAATCCTTTTTTCAACCTAACAACCGAACCATGGTGCTGTGACATGCATTTGTTGTCATTATATTTGTTAATTATTTTTTCATTTTCATTTTTCGTAGAGGAAAAAAAGTCATCATCTTTATCATAATATCACGATTTTCTAATTTGAGATAACTTTATAAAAAATAAAAAACTTGTTACAAAGCTATAAATAGTTATTAGTTAAAAGTTTTGCACTTTTGTCGTAGATTTTTTTTCTTTGAAAGTTTTTGTGTTGTTTTTTCAACATTATAAAACCATAGTAAAGCAGTATGATTTTTACATGTATCATTTGTATTTATCCTAGATAAATTGTTTCATTTCATACATAATCATTTATTGTTTGTTCATTCTTTGATACATCATAGTTGTTTGTTCTTTTAAAAAGTATTTCTTTTGTTTAAAAAATTGATTTTCATTCATGACCAATAAAACATTCCTTTGTGGGTGATTTTACAATTTACTATAACATTTTCAAAATTATTGTGATAACTTGAAAAAGTAATGAATGTTGTATGATGAATTTGTTTCTGGTCTCCGGCTCTTTGATATATTATTGCTCAGATATTCTCCGAGAAATCTGACAACTTGAAAACAAAACATGTTTCTACCATATGATGTGTGGCGATCGCAAACATGGTCGCTCCTTGATTTATCAGAATCCGCTTAAGTTGCTCATGGATTCGGTGTTTTTCGACCAATTCTCCACCCCAGGCGTACCAGTTTATCGTTATATCTCCAGTAAAGTTCAATGAGAAGGGAACCATAAACATTCATTCGTATCTTCTGTCAACTTGGCCTATTTTTTGATGGTTTTAAAACCTATTGAAATATGCCTAGTCTTTAAAAAATTATATAGTAGAAAAGTACAGTCGAGACTGTCATATGCGACTTTCCAAGGGATCTTCAGAAAAAGGTCACATATGACAGGGAGTCTCTAAATACAGTCTCAAAGAAAATTAAATTTAAATACCATCTATCTGTCTATATACCATTGTGACTTAACATACATAACTGTGTGAAGGAATACTATCTAACCAATTGCAAATAAACATAGGTAATCGTAAATTTTTAATGTAAATAAAATAAGAATCCATGTAAAACAACTATATATTAGCATGTTTATCACACAAAATTTAATTTTTTTAATCTTTTTTGTATAAATTAACTGGAATTTGATGCATCCATGTACTTGTAAAAGTTAAACATATCCATATCCAAATTTTCTGGTTTGGTATCCATATTTTTTCCGTATTAATTATGCAGCCAGTAAAGGTAAATTAAAAAAATGCTGTCTAAAATATCTTCCGTTGGCACTCTCTTATTAAAAAAAAAATCTGACACAAGCTTAATCCAGTTTACTCAGGTCATTATATGTACATTACACACCATGATGCTTCCCATTAACAGACGCTTAGTGACGTCACTCGATACCTGTATACATGTTAACTGTGTAATTGAGACAGAGGTGTGTAGACTTTGTTTGCTACTGGATTATAATTTGACTTAATTATTTTGGCCCTCTGGGTGTTAAAATAGGTATTATTTGTCTGATTAACGGACAATTAAAAGGTGTGAAAGTCGTTTAAATCAGACAAAACATTGCATTGGGACCAGACAATTAGGGTCGCTTGTCACATATGACAGGGAGTCGTTTAATTCAGACCATTTTTATAGGAAAATACGTTGGGAGTACTGAAACAAGGTCGGATAAGACAGGGAGTCGTTTAAATCAGGGGGTCGCTAAGGCAGTCTCGACTGTACGTTAATTAGAGCAACAATACAATAGTGTTATAGTTTGTCAGAATATTTTATCAATAAAATATGTCAATGAAAAAAAATGTGTTCTTGTCTTTCATTAGTTGTGACGCAACTGTCAGTCATTTGCTGATTTATGTATAAATAATTGAAAAAGTAATGAACAGGAGTCACCTGAATAACGACATATATCAGATTTACTAAGGACTGTTACTAACTTATTTAATGGCCAGCTTCAGCCATCACATGGCATCTTTTAGATAGCATTACATAGTCTCTATTTTAATGTGCAGTAAACCATAAAAATTATTTTAATGTGCAGTAAACCATAAAAATTGGTCGCCCATGTCGTACCACGTGATCACAATGCCCGGATGTCATTTGGACACTTTATTTGTAAAGACAGGAAAGCTTAATATTTTCTAGTAGGAATTATAACTTATCTTCCGTATCCAAAACTTTCCGTCAGTAATAAGTAAGAGCGTTGCGAAGCTATTGTAAATCTGATACCAAAAGGTGTTCAAGCTTACCGGTGCCCTTCACAATTGACCATAGATAAGCAGTCATTCTGTCTTTTAACTTCACTTTCATGAACGGATAAAGAGTGGGTGGGGCCCCTCTTAGGTTTGGATACATTTGAGCATTTGTCATGAGAAAACCAACATAATGGGTTTGCGACCAGCATGGATCCAGACCAGCCTGCGCATCCGCAAACCCAATATGTTGGTTTTGTCGTGACGCGGCTCATTTGGAGATTCATGCAA